TCGTCCTGCTGCGACGTAAAATAATTCCTGATGTCACTTGGGGGCGGACGCTAAATTGCCTCTTGATCAGCCAGATCATCCGAGTGGAAGGCTCGTCGGCGTACGAGGGTAAATAAGAGTGCTGTGGCTGCCTTGATCGACGCCCAGGGCACAGGGGTGGGACCGGATTGCACAACTTTGAGACACGCTTGGCTTCTGATGCGAAGAAACGTGACACCGTGACTTTGAGAAGAACAAAGGGAGGGGTAGGTTACAGGTGATAAGTTCGGGTTTTAATTCCATGCTACGAACAGACCTAGTCAGTCAACATTATTTTTATTTTTTATTAGTTAGATGGACAGCCATGTGACATCTGACAGACAGCATTAGTTTAGAAAATTGTTTATTCCTGATGCTTCCTCTGTTTGAGAATCTTACTAAAAATAGTATTGACGGTAGGAATCTGACTTACCTGTTGACCCCAAATGAGGTCTGTTCTAAAATAGCCACCAGTAACTAGTTGGTCTGTGCACTACGCTGCGGTAGGCATCTTGAATGATCTAGTGTAGGCGGTGCACAGTGTTGTAGCCTATGAGCGACAGTGAGGACACCGGAGAGGACGACCGCAGGATCTTGCGATCAGCTAGAGGCCCGATATCTGACGTGTCCCTAGGACCGGGGGGTGATAGGAAACTGTTCCACCGGCAGCGGGAGAGGCAGCAGCAAAGGAGAGCTAGAGCAGTCGAGGCCAGCAGGGCATTAGCTAGCGAGGCCGGTGCTACAGCAGCCATGGCTACCACAGCCATGAGCACGTCTGCACAACAGACTTCCCCAGCCGGTAGTTCAGGTACCGCCGGGTCTACGGTCGCGCAGACCGTGAGTCAGTCCACTGGCTTAATGGCAAGCCAGCCTGCGGTGTTGACCCCAGAGGATGTCGCCATCCAGCAGGCAGCCCTGCAAGAGGCACAGCTACAGCAGGCCTTAGGACAGATAAAACGAGAGAAGGAAATGATGATTAGAAGAAAAACCAGGTTGCAACGAAGAGCGACAGACATAGAGGAGTTAGAGACAATGGACCTGACGCATATGGATGATGATGTGAAGGTAGTTAGGAGGGCCCTGCTAGGCGTAATTGAGATGCAGGAGCATCAAACTACCATCCTTCAGGACATTCAACAAAGCCTAGCCGTGTTGGCAGGCCGTGCTCAGGCAGCACCATCACCAGCCGGGCCTGGTGCCTGGCCCGTGCCATATCCTCCTTTTTCTATCCCACCGGTGACAGGGGTATCCCCATATATAGCCCCTTCAACGGTTGCAATAGTTTCCCTGGGCATGCCGCTATCAGGAGGGGTAACAGCAGGGAGTAGTTTACAGGTTCCTGTACAGACAGTGTTTACTCCAAGTCCGTCACAGGGTGCAGTCACCACGCAGCCTGCTGTCTCGCAGCCTGTGCAGCCTCAGGGCACACAGCCCCAGCAGCTAGCACAGCAACCTGTTTCACCAGGTCCACAGCCTGGATTGATGCAGGGACCGGGACAAACACAGTGGGTTCCAAAGACGGCCATCGCCGCTCCTAAACCTTTTACAGGAGACAAGAGAGGCGAGGACCTCGACACATGGTTGAGGGCAGTGCCGGTCTACGTCAGGTGCAAACTCACCTTGCCTCACGAAGAAGTGCTTGTGGCTGCCTCCTACCTCGAGGGTAGTGCAGCGAGATGGTTGAGCGGTCTAGTTCAACTTGAGGGATATGGTCATGACTTCCGCGCTTGGGCAGCCTCCCAGAAACTAGAGGACTTCCTGAAGATGGTGGAAGAAAGGTGGCATGATCCTCAGGAGGCTCAAAGGGCCACTGACGCGATCCTGACACTGCACACGCGGCAGTTTAAGTCAGTAAGGGAGGCCACCGACGCTGTAGAGCGTTTGATCTGTGTCCCTGGGCTACGCTATGATCCTCAGGTCCTGTTGACTTCGTACCTGAGATGTTTTTCACAGCCTCTCAGGAACCAGTTGGCAAAAGAGGCCAACATCAATATGCACAACTTCCCTTCGTTTAGCAAGGTGGCCCTAGACCTGGAAGCAAAGATAGGGCATGGACAGGCACCCACTACGGAAGGGAGAAAGAAGACACTGCCTCCCAACTGGAAGGCGAAAGGTCGCATCATGTTTGTCGACAACGATGGATCAACCATCCAGTTGGATGACAACTTCCAGGAGGGAGTAGGTGCAGAGGCGGGTGGCGAAACTTCAGACGGTGGAGTAGTCGCCGCCGTAACCCAGCAAAAAGGTAAAGGGACCGGTAGACGCCCTAGGGGATCCCGGTCGAAGAGTCAAACAGACCCCAATGCTCCTCCATGGGAGAAAGCGGGTCTAGCTGAGGACGTGTGGAGAGATCGGTGGGCACGGCAAGCTTGTATCAAGTGTGGCCAATATGGTCATAGCATGTACAAGTGCCGCAACGGGAAGGTCACCGAGAAGATCCCACCCACTATGGGGCCGGCGGTAGGATCCTCTCAACCCGTTGGTAGCAACATTGCCAGTTCTTCAGGCAGTGCTCCGGGAAACACGACGGGCCAGTAGTAGTAGCTGTTCCTACTAGGGTCGCGATGTTGGATTCACCCTCACCTTCGCGAGAGATGGCCCAAGCTACAGACTCTTCAGTTGTCCCGCAAACACATTCAGACCCATTGACCCTCTGTTCGATGAATGTGTTTGAATCCTTAGAGGAGCTAGAGCATGAGTGGTCTAGATCAGACCCACTAGCTTCTTGGACGGCGTTAGTCAAAGCCCGTAGGAGTGAAATGTTGATCAGCGAGGTAGTCATAGGAGGCCGCAAGGCCGGGGCCTATTACGACACTTGCTCGACTAGGAACTTTATTAGCCGCGCGTGCGTTGAGAGGCTGCGCTTACAGGGGCAAGTGCAGCGCCTGAGTCGACCTGTGGAGTCGACCTGCGCCAACAAACAACGCATGGTAGTCCATGACTACCTAAAAGACATAGAGTGTCTTTTCCCGTACGCGGGAGGGGAATTGAGGCATCATGTCTCATTCCTGGTTAGCGACGAACTCCCCATGGACATGCTATTGGGTATGTACTACCTCTCCGTGGCACAGCCCCAGTTTGACTGGGACCGAAAGGTGGTCAACACACACTTTGCCAAACGGGTGAACCGCCAGATTACACAAGTTTAAGGCTAGTAGTCTGATCGATTCCCACGGATGCTTGTGTGCGGCCGCGTTCTACAATTATTATTAGCAAAATCCGGAGGAGGGTATGTATCTAGTTTACGTCTCTGCTAGTTTACGTCTCTGCTGCGGGCGAGCCGGTAAAAATGCCGCCAGAGATAGAGGGAGTAGTTGCCAAGTACCCTGATCTATTTGAGGAGCCTACAGGGGTTGTTGAGAGGGAGGTCGTCCATGCGATAGAGATTATCCCAAGATCTAGTATTCCAAAGGGTAGGATCTATCGGATGTCTCTAGGCGAGCTTGATGAGCTTCGCCGCCAACTCAAGGAACTCGTAGAGAAGGGCTGGATCCGGCCGAGTGTATCTCCTTATGGGTCTCCAGTTCTATTCGTGCCTAAGAAGAAGGAGGGAACTCTTAGGATGTGCATTGACTATAGGGGCCTCAATGCCATCACTGTAAAGAACAGAGAGCCCCTACCGCGCATCGACGATCTGCTAGATAGAGTGCAAGGGTGTCGGTACTTCAGCAAGATACATCTGAAGTCCGGATACCATCAGATTGCCATCCGGCCCGAGGATCAACACAAAACCGCTTTTCAGACGAGGGACGGTCTGTACGAGTTTGTGGTGATGCCTTTCGGCCTTTGCAATGCTCCTGGCACCTTTCAGCACGCTATGAATCGGATATTCCATGACTACTAGGATAAGCTTGTCATCGTGTACCTCGATGACATACTTATTTTTAGTAAGACTGTCGAGGAACATGTTGCACACTTGGACAAAGTCCTCGGTCTCCTGCGACAGCACAAGTTCAAGATCAACGGTGAGAAATGCGAGTTTGGCCTCACCCGTGTCTTGTACTTGGGTCATGAGATCTCCGCGGAAGGGTTGAAGCCCGATGACGCGAAGGTGGCCAGCATTCGTGATTGGCCACGTCCTCAGTCTGTGACTGAGATGAGATCTTTCTTAGGAATGACAGGCTACTATAGGACTTTCGTTAAGAACTACAGCATAGTGGCCGCTCCTTTGACTGATCTGACCCGCCTTGACACCCCTTGGGAGTGGACAGATAAGTGCGAGGATTCTTTCAGACATCTGAAGCATGCATTGACGCACTATGAAGTCTTAAAACTTCCTGATCCAGACAAGCCGTTTATAGTCACAACGGATGCCAGCCAATATGGCATTGGCGTCGTGCTTGCGTAGCAGGATGGGCCAAAGTTGAGGCCAGTAGAGTACATGTCCAAGAAAATGTCGTCTCGGAAGTTGGCGAAGTCCACTTATGAGAAGGAACTCTATGCGGTGTACAAGGCTCTAACCCATTGGAGACACTACCTCCTTGGGCGGTTCTTCATCCTCCGGACTGATCATCAGACCCTGAGATGGATGAGAACACAGCCGGTACTCTCTGACGCTCTYAAGCRTTGGATCGAAGTCATTGASCRATAYGACTTTGAYCCTCGGTATCTCAAAGGGGAGTACAACAAGGTTGCTGATGCCTTGTCGCGCAGACCGGACTTCTCAGGTGCGCTGATTACTGAGTTCGATCTGACGGACGATGTGACTCAGTCTTTGGTGGAAGCCTATCGTCAGGACCAGTTTATGTCTGAGATTATACGCAGACTTGAGGCGAAGGATAAGAAGACCTTCGCTGAGTTTGAGTTGGTCAATGGCTTGTTGTTCCTAGAGAAGGCAGGGAATAAACGCTTGTGTGTTCCAAATAGCGAGTCTTTGCGTAGTTTGTTTTTAGGCGAGTGTCATGATGCCACCGGCCATTTTGGATATAAGAAGACCGCAGCCAACTTGCTGCAACGGTTCTGGTGGCACACGATGATGAAAGATGCACAGCTGTACGTGGAAACTTGTCAAGTTTGCCAAAGAGACAAGCCCCGTACTCAGGCTCCTCTTAGGCTGCTCAAGCCCCTTCCGATTGCGGAAAGGCCGGGTGAAAGTTTGTCTATGGATTTCATGGATATGCTGGTCACCAGCAAGAGTGGGATGAGACAGATCTTTGTCATCGTGGATAGGCTTAGTAAGTTTGCTAGAGTATTAGTTATGCCAGAAACAGCGAAGACCGAGTATGTGATCAGGCTATTTAAAGAGAACTGGGTTAGAGACTTTGGACTGCCGAAGTCTATAGTCATTGACAGGGACGTCAGGTTCACGAGTGAATTGTGGAAGGCCGCTGCAACTGAACAAGGAACTCAACTGCAGATGACCTCTGGAAATCATCCAGAAGCTAATGGCCAGGCTGAACAAATGAACCGCGCTGTGCAACACCTGTTGAGGCACTACATCAAGCCCAACCAAGTAAACTGGGACGAAAAGCTTGCTCTAGTCGCCAGTCTATATAACAACGTTGTACACAGTGCTACCGGGGTGAGTCCTAACAGTCCACAACTGACCTTCAAGCCTAGACTGCCCTTAGACTTCCTACTTCCCGACAACCAACTAACTGCTACACCGGGCACTTTGGAGTTTGCCTATAGATATGAACAGAAGATGCAGGAGGCTGTAGAAAACATGCAGAAGGCGCAGGCAGCAATGATAGAGTCTGAGAATAGACACTGCCGCCCTTCTACATTTCAGGTTGGGGACAAAGTCTGGGTTAAGTCTTCAGAACTGGGACAGGAGTTCGGGATATCCCGCAAACTCATGCCTCAGTACTTTGGACCTTGGGAAGTTCTAGATGTAGTAGGGACAGATCCYGATGGTCCATCMTATGKCATCYGTATCCCTGGTCATCTCAGAACTCACCCTGTCTTTCACGCCTCTAAGCTCGCTGCGTTCAAGGAAACTGATCAGTTTCCCTCCCGTCGGTCAATGCTGCCCCCAACCATGGACGGAGAAGTCGACATCGATGATATCGTTGACCACAGGGAGATGCCCGTTCAGAAGCCTCCAGGAAGGGGACGTCCTCGAAAGTTGCCCGCTATGAGAGAGATGTATTGAAAGGAAAGCGCCAGATGGCGGCAGATTGATCTTCTCAGAGGACTAACGAAGATATGGAGGAGGGAATGCGAGGCTACGCCCGCTTAGCCCCTATGGGCCCTTATTTGCAGCAAGGTCGGCCGCCCTAAGTGAAGGCAGGCACGACAGGCCCTCAAGGCCTCGATTTTCAGGGTACCCCGCAACTGGGGAAATTCAGGCAGTTGCGCAGCACCAATTGGTTGAATGAACTCAGGCCCTGGGCCGCCTGTGTGAATGAATGTAAAGCAGGCCCTGGGTGGGATACRGGTACCGGGCCAAGCACAGGCCGAAAGCAGTTGGGCACATGCAACCACTTCAGGCCCAAGGCCTGCGTTCCTCGTGGCCAGGCCTCAGGCTATCGGGGCCTACTGGAAGCTTCCTGGACTGGACGCAGGCAGGCCACTTCGATATAGGGAAGGGCCTGCCTCCTCATTGGGCATTCGGGTGCTGGTTGCACGCTGCGCAAGCGCTGCTGCTGCGCTATTTGCTGGCTGGCGCCTACGCTCTCACGGGCGAGCAGGGAAGGAGCACGCAGCCATAGCCAAGCTGCGCTGCTGTATGCTGGGTGAAGCGCAGGGTGGTCCTTGGGTGCAAGTGGCATCTGTGAGTTGGGGAACGAGGTTGTGAGGGTAGCGCAAGACATACCTGGTGCTGAAGCGAGCGACATTGGTCGCTATATGCTCATCATTCTGCTTCGTAGTATAGGCTAGATAGGATCTGCCACATGTAGTCTGGGCGCCGAGCGCCAATAGGATATCAACTCTGGTTCTTCGCTGATGATGATGGGACTACTTCAGCATTGTCAATGATGAACTCTTGGTGTGTTCTTACTTGGTGTATCTCGTGATGCAATTCTGCGTTTGGTTCGAGGTCAAGACTATCTTGACTCATATGTATGGGAAGCAAATCGGGACAAATAGATCCGCCCATTGCATCCTTTCCGGTGTGAGTACTATGGGACGGAGGACATTCGAGAACCACCATCAAGTTGTTTTTGACCAGTTTACTTTCATTTCAGAGGCTTGTTATGATCCTGGCCAATTTCGAGATACACATTCATCAGATAGTAAAATGCTGTCCACTTGGAAAAAGAAATGAATGAACTTGAGAGGAGAGAGAGGGTTAGGAGAAGAAGAAGAAGAAAGAAAGAAAGAAGAAGAAAGAAAGAAGAAGAAGATGATGTACACCAGCATAGACAAATGAGAAAGCTCTTCTTCTTCGCCAATCACTCTCCTCCTCCTTATCTCCTCCTCTCTTATTCACACAAGAAATAATAATACAATGTTGAATGGCTGAACCAGAATCAAAGTCTGAATCCCTCTTCTACTGCAGGTATCACTTAAGGTCCCCCATAGCCATGACCGCCTCCCTCACTCTTCACTCTCATAGGCCGAGGCTATGCCGGACTACTCGGGCTTGTCTCTGATGTCCAAAGGACAACGCAAAGCAGCTATGGCTGCTCTAGCTCAGGCCGCCGTGCCTGGCTCTGCCTCGAAGCTTCTTGGTGTAGCTCTACCCCCAGTTGGGGCCTTCCTGCTGCAGCGCCCACCAAGGTGATGAAGATGGCTGCCACCATAGCCAGGTAAGTAAGTCTAGCGCTCCTCCCTAGCCCTGGCCTTCTTCCTCCTCCGTGTCCTTGCTCCTTCCCCAGCAGCGCTGCTCCAGCCAGCGCTCCAACCAGTGTGTCGCCAAAATTGCACACCGACAATGAGGCCGGGATCTTCGCCCGACCTGGAGATATAGCGGCCTGCTTGCCTCTTGGGCGGTGACTTCCAGGTCGCTCGGCCTTCCAAGCAACCGGTACCTCCTCCCTTTCGGAGGGAAACATCATTGCAGACTCCGATATTGCCCGTACAGGCCCTAGACTCAGAGTGGTTGGACTGGTACCCGCCTAGACCTAGCCGACAACTACTGGGCCTCTAAAAATGCCACTTTTGTCTTCTTCTGCTCGGCCTTGAGTACCTGGCACATCTACCTCTTCAGGGTGTGGTACCGGCCTACCTGCTACTTGAGTGCTTCCCCGCTGCTTCAAGTGTTGCGGGCCTCTTCCCCCGCCATTAGAGTGTTGTCCCCGCCGCAATCCTCAATGTCACAGCCACAGGTAAGTACCGGCCCTGAGCGCCCAACGAACCAACAAGTGCCCTTGCGGGTCACACACACACTCAAGCAATCAGGCACTCAGACAGACATGCAGACCAGCAAGTGTGCACACACACAAGCTTAGAGAACTTAGTAGCAAGCGGGAAACCCAGGAAGGCATTCAGTCCATGGGCAAAGCCCATAAATCAGTTGTGTGTCTCAGTCCGTGTTTGGTCAGGTCATCACAGGCTAATTGAAAGGCTTGCATAGCTATTGTTAATGCTTGGAAGGAAGAGTTGGATGCCCCGATAAGAACTGTGAGATCGTCCGCGAATAAGAGGGTGGTGGGGATATGTAAGGGTTGACCTCTTTTGTCCTTAATGTTAATTAGTCTTCCTATGGATGGATCTTTTCTCAGGAAGGCTGCTATGGCCTCCATTACGAACAGGAAGATTGGGGCAGCTAATGGGTCGCCTTGTCGTACCGATCTTGACATTTTGTAGGGGTTGGAGAGAAATCTGTTGATTTGTACTATGCCCTGCGGGCCGACTCCCATCTTTTCCATTGAGGCCTGGAGAAAGTCTCAGTTGACTTGATCATAAACTTTTTCAAAGTCGAAGAAAAGGATTGTTGTTGTGATCTTCTTTTCATTTATTATTCTGGTGGACTCGTTGAGAGCCATTACATTATCTAGGAGAAGTCTGCCCGGGATGAACCTTGTTTGGTCCAGGTGGAAGCAACCTCCTTTGATCTGGTTAATTCGAGAGGCTAGGAGCTTGGCTAGGATTTTATAGGAGACGTTTAGTAAGGATATAGGTCTATAGTTCCTGATGTCTTCTTTACTTCCTTTTTTGTTGAGGAGGGTCGCCACTCCCATGCTTAGTGCACTCTGGCTCTTACGTGTAGTCCCCTAAGTATTAGTTTTGTCCATTCTGATAGTTCTTCCTTAGCTTTGGAGTGTAATAAAATTCTAAGTTAGTATCTATTTGGAGATCTAGTTCATTTCCTAATGTTTCTACTCTTTCTTTCCTTTGTGATGTCAGTCTTCTTGACGTATGTGAGGTGTTAGTGCTAATAATCTTTAGTATTTCTGGGAATTTGGTGAGGATGTCTTCGTTTTGTTTTATCTTTGTATGGGAGTTTAACATTCTTGCTAATTCGGTTTGAAAGACCTGACTGGTTAATAATGCATTGTTGAAGTGATAGAAACTCTTTCGTACGTATACCACTCTGGTAAGTCTAAGAGTGAGTGAGATTGCTTTGTGGTCTAGGCCCTTATAGTAGGGGTTGTTTTTTTATTCTGTAGTCTAGGATAGCCCCTGATAGTGAATCCGAGGTGAGGAAGAAGTCTATTCTTGACAGAGAGGTTCTTACGAGGAAGGTTTTTCTGACGCACGAGAAGCGTTTTGCATTAGGAGTTAGGAGATGAGATGGGTCTACTAGGTTCTTCCTTGTGATCAAGTCCCCTAGGTCTATGCCGTTGGATTGTGATGTGGGATCCTGGGAGTTAGAGATTCTATCCAGGGTAGGGTATTGTACAGAGTTCTAATCTCCCATCGTGATGGCATGACTATGGGTAGGGATTAGATGTTCTAGGGATAGGAGGAAGGTTTTTTTTTCCTGCGATGTGATCGGGCCATATATACCCAGAATGGTTATATCCTCTTCTTTAAGTTGTATGTCAGTCTTGACCCACCTCCCTGCCGTGTCGTCCTGGCTCGAGGTTTCAATTGATATGTTATCACTTGCTGCAGACTTTTGGTGGAAGAGAATGGTCGTACTTGCTGAACCATTTGGTGCTGCGTTGGCCCAGACTGAGAATTTGACGAAATGCAATTTTCTTAAAATTGTCGTTCGTATTCTCGTGTTCATCACTGTTTGTGAGGTGCGTTTTCTGTATCCATGTTACATCTAGGGGATTTTCGCCAAACCAATTGACGGTTTCCGTCAGATTTTTCCATTTGATTGGGTTGGCCAAAATAGATGCTAACCCATTGACGTTCCATCACAATATGGACAATTCTGGTTGTTTTCCAATTTTCTTGAAGATGTCGACTTTTGTGGTGGGTTTGAATGTCTTTGGTTTGTGTCCAGCTCCTCTATCTGGGGAACCATCTGTTGAGTTTTGAATTGGATCGTGCCATGGTTAACCTCGATTCTAGGCTGGAAAGGGTGTTTAGGAGGAAGTATTGGAGATTATCCTCTCCTTCCTCTTCTCCTTTTCCAATTTAGCCTTGTCCAAAGGTACCTCCTCACTACCTCCCAGCCATTCCTGTCTTATGAATGTTGCAACGTTGTAAGCGATTCTCTCAACTTCGTCCTTGTGACCCAGAAGAGAGTAGGGAATCTCACACATCAGTTCCCATGGTTTCCATTGCAGGCCGTCTCTTAGGACTGTGTACTGGTCATAGATTGCCATGATTGGACTCAAGTTCCTGAAATGAGATGCACCGCTGTCATCTTCCCAAACTACTTTGAGGCTTTTGTATTGCCATGTTTTGTAGATGAGTTGTCTTGCCATGTTTTGCAGATGAGTTGGGGGCGCTGGTCTGCGATGTTTGCTCTTATGAATTGTGGTACTTTCTCAGTCTCCTTCGTTGTGACCAGAGTCAGTGAAGATCAGACTGCAACCTGCCAGTCCCCTTTCTCCCCGTTGAATCTAAGGGGGAAGATTGAGACTGATGGGGTGAGGGAAATGGAGCCGATCTTGGCTGCCACCAGGAGATTTGTTGGGTTTTCATCTGCAACTCTATTCAGGGAGAGAGAGAGAGAGCTTACCGAACTCCTAGTTTTGCTCCTCTAGGTGTCTTGTCTGTCTCTCGAGGATGGCTATCTGTCTCCTCTTCTCCTTTTTCTGGTTCTTTGACTGCGTAATCAAGTCGTTGGTCAATTGTTTCATTGCTTCTTGCTTTGTTCGTTGTTCCCCCTTACCTTCTGATTTCGTGGTGGTTTCTTTCTCTGTGGTTAATTCATTTTTTCCACACGAAAGTATG